TGATTTATGCATACTGTGAAATTTTCAGGTTGATCCGTTAAATAGTTTGTCAGAAACGGCTAATTAACGCTCATCATGAAAAGCCCTGTATACTTTACAACATAGTTGAGAGGTATTGATTTACTGCATTACTCAAAAATTTGGTAAACTCACTCTTAGGTAAACTTCATCCTGACTGTTTTTGGTGTATCCTATTTCATAGTCGCTCTGGAGTAAATCATCCACGTTGCGTATGCTGCTCAGTTCAACTGATAATACGGAAGTTATGAAAGCAGAGTATGAATTGTAGATCAGTAGTGTAAATGCCAATGAAATCAAGACGACAATTCGACCACCATATAACGTAGGTTTCCATAGTGTTCCTAGAAGTTACTCATTTTGTGATAACCTCCAACAGAAAGTTGGATTGAAACATATTCAAAGAAATGTGCTTCATGTTTCAACTAGAGGGCTGCTGTTTGATTTATAATACGTTTTACAATCACCAGAGTAAAAGCAGATATTCAATTTATGTTCTTTTAGTACTCAAAGAATATATTTTGAGCTTTCATTAATTTTATTCATCTCAGAATAAAACAACGAATGAGTTAGAGTTTGAATTTCTTTTATATATATCAAAAATAAATACCTTCAAAATATATATTTTATATTACAGTTGGACTGAAAAGTTCGTAGGCTAGCATGGAATTTTTTTGTAAAAGATTTGATTTCTTTATACAATATAGTCGCCTCCAAGGGCGATACAACGATTATAGTGTCGTACGATACCATGTTCATAGTAAGATTTGTCTCTAGCCTCAGCGAGCACTTTCTTGATTTATGAGTACAGAAAAAAGTCGCTGGGGGTCAAATCTGGAGAATACGGTGGATGCGGAAGCAACTCTATGTCAAATTCATGCAATTTTGCCATCGTTTTCATTGATTTGTGATACAGTGCATTGTCTTGATGAAACAGCACTCTGCGATTCGACTCTCAAACGCTCCAATAACGCTATTTAATAGTCTCTGTTGATGGCTTTTTTGTTTTCAAGGTAGTCGATGAATATTATATCAAGTGCATCCTAAAATACTGATACCATAACCTTGGCAGCCGACTGTTGAGTCTTTGCATGCTTTGGAGTCGGTTTACCACGTGCAATCCACTCAGATGACGATCATTTTGATTCTTGTGTGAATTGATACAGTTATGCTCCATCCAGTGTCACATATCGATTCATAAATTCGGGTTCATTATGGTTCTTTTGGTATCTTCAGAGCCTCAGCTATCTCGATCAACTTCACTTTGAGGTCATCCAAAATTATTTAGTGTACTTGTTTGATGTTTTTGTCAGTAACAGCCTCTTTGGTGTGCAACGTCCTTGGTGCTCATTTCACCTTGTTTATATTTAGCAAACCACTTTTCAACGGTTCCTGGTATGGTATGGTGCAAGTCAGAATAATGTTTATCAAGTCAAGCTTTGGTTCCACCAGTATTTGTTTCACCAAAAAGCAATGCTCCACTCAAAATGTTCTATCACCCAAACTAATAGTCCGACAGCTATGAAATTTGAACACGTGCCTCTTAAAGGTTACGCTCAACTAAAAATTATATGGATTTGATACTACTAGCGCCATCTCTGTGTTAGCCTACGAAATTTTCAGCTTACCTAATATGTTTAGAATATTCAAATATATACAGGGTGTTTTTTTAGCTGATACCACTATTGTTATCTCGGAAACAGTAGGTATTACAAGAACGGTTGAATGGAATGAAGGTTGCCTTTTTAGGAATGCAAGATAATGGTATTCTCAGATCGACAAAATCACCAACCGTTTCTGTGATATTTGCAAAAAAAACTAAAAATGACAGATTTTAATTTTTGCTCTACCGCTTCCATTTTCAATAATATCTTTATTTCATGTTTTTCATAATCTGGTCAACCCATTTTTCAATGCGACGTTGTTTCGTTTATTGAAAACCATCATCAATATTTTTTTAAATCAACTTGTAATTTTTTTTTACATTTTGGTAGTCATTGGAATTATAAATTCATTGACATATAACAACATATATATTTCTCGACGTTTCTTCCAAAAAACACTTCATCAAAATTCCATCATTCAACTTTTTTTTCAATGAGAAATGAAATTTCTGAATATCGTTGCAAGCACATAGTTAATAGTATCGTAATTCACCACATTGAAAAAGAAACAGTTACGAAAGAGAATGTAACGAAATAATAAATCGTAGAAAATGAACATCATAACGGAATGCCTCACGTTACATTTTTTAAGTTACCGTCTCACGCGATATCGCAGTAAATGTTCAAAGTGTCTTCCATCATTCCTCAAACAAATACTTGCTCTAGAAATAGTGTGCTTGTGGCAGTTCTCTAACATCTATGGAGTGATAGCCATGCAGGCTCTCCTGATTGAATCTTTCAATTCCTTAATATTTTCAAAATTTGTTCTGAATACTTNACATCTCGAATAAACAAAAGGCATATCCACTTTTTCGTCATTGGAAAAACTTATGTTTTTTCCTTAAAATCGCTTGACAATTGACTTGACATTCAAATTCATGTATTTCATGGCTCACTTCAAAAAAAGAAATTATCGCGTATCATGTTTCTCCTGAAAATCATCTATGACTTTTTTTAATACAGTACCCATTTTTAATAATTAATTCTTGTTGATATACCCATTTTCTGAACAGAAACATTTGGGTAGCTACAAATTTTCAAGAGACATTTGGAAATTATAAATAAAGAAATGATAGAATATTGACGATATGTTTTCGGGTGGAACGTTGAGAAATACATGTGTAGTAATATATCAATGAATTTGTTATTACAATGACTACCAAAAAGTATAAAAAATACACAAGTCTGTATAAAAAAAAGATGATGAATTTCAATGAACGAAACGTCGCATTGGAAGATAGGTTGAACCATATTATGAAGAACATGAAACGAATCAAAACGTTTTTTTGTCATTTTTTGATATTATCAAAAATGGAGGCGGCAGAGCAAAAAAATAAAATCTGTCATTTTCAGTTTTTGGCAAATATCTCAGAAACGGTTGGTGATTTCATCGATCTGAGAATTCCATTATGCTGTAATTCTGAAAAGTCAACTTTTGTTCCATTTACTCGTCCTTGTAGGACCTACCGTTGCCGAGATAACAATAGTGGTATCTAGTGTCCGACCGAAAGTTTGATTTCGGTTTCGGTTCGGTTGAATTTCGGCAAAAAAAACGGTTTTCGGTTTCGGCGGAAAACCTACCGAAACTACGACCGAAACCGAAACTGCATTCGGGAGTTCCCGCGCTGTGATCGATCATGTTCGGCTGGTTAAATTTCATACAAGTGATATTAGGTAACGGCTCAAACAAGTAATTTTGTGTTAAATATTTTTTAAAACCCATCAATAATATCTACATCTACTCAAATAAACACCTCACCTATTTCAAGTATTTTTAAGGTGCAATTAATATTTTTTCTTAAATAAGGGTTCATATGTTGATCATCAATAAGTAAAAATGTCGAAGACTGCATAACGTTGTGATTTAAAAAAAATAAATAAAGACTAAATGATTAAAATAACCTTTTCTTTATTTTTCCCTCAAAACATAATCCTTGTGAGGAAGTTTCGGTTTCGGCCGAAACTGAGACCAATGCCGAAATTCGTTTTCGGTTTTGGTTTCGGTCGTAAAAACCAGTTTCGGTCGGACACTAGTGATATCAGCTAAAAAATCACAAATTTTGGAGACATTTAACGATAATAACATGTATGTTAGGTACCTTGTTGTGAAAATATTCCAATACACCAAACTATCGAGTCCAATACTCCCTTATTTTGAGCGTGGATATCATCGGTTTTCATAATAGAACTTATTTTATTGCTGAGGGTCATGATGAGTGAAAATATTAAACCCGTACTGAGCACGGCAATGATCAGCCTATTATCGAAAGGTACCAGAAAAATATCTCTGAATTCACTAGATTCTTCTGGTTGGATGTAAATATTTTTCCTGCAAAATAATATTAACGGTGTGGACGTAAAAAGTTCCACCCTCTTTGAAAGAAACGAGATATCAATGTCGTACAAAGTTTACATAAGAAATATCATCGTCAATATTTTCTGATAAAAAAAACAAATGTGTGACGTTACATGCTGCGACGAATATGCTGTCAACTTTTTTTTATTGAAAAAAAGATCTTGTGGTGTATTTGAGTAAACTCCTGGTGAGCAACAAATTTGAAACACTTTCTATTCTAAGGAAAACCAGTTTCAAGATAGCAAGAACGTGGAGAATTGAAAAAAATTGAAAATCGGCCGATCGGTTTCAACTATTTTGTTGCTGATACTCAAGGTGTATTTGAGTTCACTCTTGGTGATCAACAAATTTAGAACATCTTTGATTCCAGGAAAAACCAGTTTCAAGATAGCAAGATCTGAAAAAATTTAAAAAAAAATATTTAAAAATTTTCGCTATATCTAAGGTTTAGCAGTGTAAAGATCAAAGGAAAAGTATATAATTTATTGAGGTACCTTGCTACTTTTATATCACAATATCATTATTTGCGATTTCTAGAGATCGGCACGAGCAACAAAATCGTTGTTTTGGCAACTAATTAGCAAGTATTTAGCTACAAATTGATGTATTTTTTTTTGCAATTTTACTGGATTCGCCATGCTAGTCTGATAGGACTGCAAAAATCCCAGTGCTGAAAACCGAACTAGGTTTGTTAATGCTCGCAACAGCTGCAAACTCAGAATAAATGAAAGCAATGAACTTCACAATCAGAGAATCAGGGGATTGGAAAACAGTTTTTTCCAATCCCAACGTGTCTAGATCCTTCTGGTCGGTAGCTACAGCTGTTAATCAGAACTTTACAAAATCCACAATTTCACCACTAACACAAGCGGATGGTTCAATTGCAAGGTACCATCCACTATTCCCACACTAGAATCCATAATGCCGGAAATTACTTTTCGATAGCGTCTAGTCAGGCGAATTTTGCCATCATGTCCTTAAATATTTGGAGGACGTCAACATCTTGAACGATCATCAATATGGCTTTTCTGTTTAAATCTGTTTGAAATATGTTTTTCCGTTAATCATCTGTCGCACCCCTACGAACGAGAACTCTCAGAAATCGAAACTTGTACGAGCTAAAGATTAACGAGGTCTTACCTTTCAACGAGTGATTTCTAACACGGGAAACAAAGATCAATAAGCGACCTTCTATCGTATGTCACCCATATTTGGAATAACGCAATCGAGAAACATGTAGAGTCAAGATCTGTTGCGTTTGATATTTTTAAGGCCTTTGACCGTGGTGCTATGGCTTGTCGGTTCAGTTTTGTGAATGACTCTCCAGCTTCCTGAAAGAACGTTCCTTGCAATTGGTCGTCGATAAATATTTCTTGAATACTTTTACCATCAACGCTGGTGTTCCCCTGGAAACCATATTGTCTCCAACCTCCTTTATATTGTATATTACCGACTTATTGGAAACAACCAGGAATCCAATATATAGCTTCGCACACATGTCTCCTCATTCCATTTGGATTCCAGGACATCGGCTGCGGTTACACATCTCCACCGGCAGCAGGAGGTTGCATATCTATCTAGAGGTGATTTCGAATTGAAGTGAAAGTAATCAGGTTCAATTCAACGTCACGAAAACCCAGGCAACGGTTTTCTCCAAAAAGATAAATTCTTCGAACCGGATATAATAATGTCAGGACAAACAATTCCGCTTTCTGCTTCGATAAGTTTGTTAGGGTTCAAAATGGACACTAACTTATCTGAGCACAATCATGTTGCTGGAATTGCGAAGGCGGCTTCTCAAAAGCTTAGAACACTGTTCTGAACCACAAAACTGTACAAACCCCAGCAACGTTTGATGCTTTATAAAGCTCAGATGATACTTCCTTTGGAGTATTGTTCACCCCTAAGCATACATTGAAGTTGCTGGATTACGTCCAGAAAAGAGCCATCCGCATGATTGGCGACAGGAACATCACTTGCAACTTTTATAGTCTGAAACATCGAAGAAAAGAGATTTGTCTCTCTTTTATAGATACCTTCACGGGAGGCACTCGAGTGACTTTTGATTCCACCAACAGCGGTACATATCAGAAATACGCGACGGATTGTGGCTGCTCATCGTTTTGAGGTTCAAGTTAGTACACGTCAAACTTCACTGTTTAAAAACTCTTTCATTTGAATAACAGCGTTTATGTGGAATAAACTTCCTGAGAACGTTTTTCCAAATAGATATAATCTCCAGCGATTCAAATCCAATGTGAATAGTTACTTTCGCACAGGAACCGCTCTTAGAACGCCTAAAGGATTTTTATGTAGTGCTTGTATTTTGTTTTGAAAAAAACAGATATATTTCAGCAAAATTGGTACCTTTTCATTATGACAGCAAGTAACCTAGAAATCATGAATAAAAAAAAAGGTGCTTGAAAAAAAATTACCCAGGAACACCCCATAATGGATTTTTTATTCAAATTATAATATTCATCGTATGTTTGCAGATCCTCAAAAAGAATATAAAACTATTCTGGAAGGACCGTCCAAATTTCAAAAAATAAGCCATTGTTGGATACAGATTTGAAATGTATATCAATTGACCCCCAATTTCATTTGAAAAATGAATTGGTAACATCCTCTCGGATTAGACTGATGCCACACTATTGTTTTTCATTGAAAATTACTCAAAATGATGCGTTTTAAACTTTGTCCGACATACACCCGTTCAAAAATTAGGAGGGGGTGACTTTTTATGCTTTTTTACGCTCTTTGTAGTATAATAAAAGTTCATTATATAACTGTGTGAAGCGAACTCAATATTTCTTACGTTGTTGTCAACACATCGTGTGTGAAAGACATATCACTGAACCTTTCCATATTTTTCGACATGCATTCTGAACTAATATCTATTTCACCTTTGACAATTGCACCCAGGAGATCTGTCCATTCTCCAGTTTCATCCTTTTTTCCAAATCTTGGAAAATGCAAAACCGTTTTCCTACAGAAATATGAATATTTAAAAACATATTAATTCAGACGTCAATTGTTGTGTAGGTCTATACAATTATAGATATTGGGAAAATTATGTATGGTGATATTTTTACAAACCTTGCATTCAAGAAGGTCGTGAAATACGTTGTAAATTCGTTCATTTCATCACTTTCCTCATCATCTTCAGATGGATCTTCCTGTCTCAATACTTTATTGAGATCTTTGTTGCCAAATATCAAAGGATATTTGTCATGGAAGTTCCCCCGTTTTTCTATATCCATGAATAGATTGAGATTTTTTGTGCCGGTGTTTGAGCCCCAGATTCCTGATAGCATAAAAACAATGTTTAGTAAAACACAAAAGTCTTGCTTGGATAAGCGTTTTTCCACAGTTCAACTGGATACAATTTGACTACAAAATGAATGAATAAAAGATCCATAAAAGGTTTGGATGTTTTTCTGAAATGCCAAAAAAGATTCTTTGAATTATATTTGTTTCAAAACAAGATTTCTGAGTACCTACTTTTGAACCGACTTGATACAATGTGAAATCACTTATTTATTGTTAATAACCAATATTATTGTTTAGAATGTGACAATAGCCCACAAACCTCCTTGACTTTGAGGACCCAGAGTTAGGTATAAACAACAATGTAGTTAATTGCTACTTACCTAATGGACAAACAACTAGTGATGAATTATTGGACTTTCTGATTTTATAAACTTGTAAAAGACAAGTCGTGTCGACATTTATAGAGCCTGATTCAGGATTGCAGGAGTCATTTGAAGTCATAAATACATTCCCTTGAAATGGCATAAAACACTCAGTACTGCTGGATTTATCTTCCAATTCTGCATTGATATTGACATCAAAGGTGCCATTTTCATTATCTGCCTGTATAAATATATGTTATGGATTTGAAACACATGAATTCAAAATATATCATCACATTTCAAAATAGAGATATATGTGGGTAATTAATACAAGTATTTATTTTATATTACTTTTTGTATATTTATATCGACATGAAAAGTGAAAGTGATGAAAGGTAACAAAAAACTTAAACAATTACAAAACAATTGGTTCATAAATCTTCACAATTATAATGAGAGGAACATTGAAAATATATGGACCCTGAAACAAGTATCATATTTGACACATATAGGATAGGTGAAAATGAATAAGGTACAATTATTTTGAGAGCAAATTTCTGGTCCGTAGACAGGGAAGATTAAAAAAAATTAAAAAAGTGAAATACACAGAAATAATTCAAATTGGACGCACAATAAAATAACTAGAAGAATAAATAGAATAAATAATGGAAAATGAATAAGTACTAAACAAGCTAACAGAGAAAATTAGGAAAGTAGGTACCAAAATACTCGTATATCACTCTTAATGAAATGATATTAGTAAATGAGTAAATACGGATGTGAATGAGACAAAATCTTCTGCAGTCAACCAGTGATGCAATTGAACCCAGGTGTGTGTTTGATAAACCCTACAAAATACAAATAAAAGAGAACACAGAGTCAGATGCTACAAATGCAATACGCATATATACAGACGACTCAAAAACCAAAGAAGGCTCAAGATGTGGAGTGTACTCCAGATCGCTAAGCCTCAGGATTAAGTGGGGAATGGGAAAAATACCAGCGTGGTTCAAACAGAACTGGCTGGTATTTCAATCGTCACAAAAGAAATAACCAGGAAAGGAATATCTGGCAAAAACATAACAATTCGCACTGATAGCATACAATCCCAATTAGCCTTGAACATACAACGTGTTATCTCAGGGCTAGTACTAGAGTAGAATTTCTTTCCCAACACCAAATCATTATTTTTAACACCTTGACACGTGTTTCGATCACCAAGTGATCATCTTCAAGAGGAAGATTGAACTAGAAACTAACGCGAAGCTAACGCTATTTATGCTATATAGATATCCCATACAGGTAAACCATCCAGGTGTACCACCCATACAGATATACCACCCTAAATTAATTTTACAATTTTGCCTTATCTATTATTTTACG